CCTTGTAAGACCTACTAGATTTTGAGAGAATTTCTCAAAAACTTTGAAAACTTAACTATTCAAGTGTGACTCTTTTAGTACGGAAGTCGAACGGTTTAAAAGAATTCGATGTCACTGACAAAGATTGCCGATTTGAATAGCTAGGCAAAGTAGTAAAATTATAAGTGTACAATGAAAGTATTACGTTAGAAGACACAGCTAGAAATATCAATTTGGCTAACAACGTACTTCAAGCAACTTTTGTATCTCGAAGTCATTCTTAAATGTGCAGACTGTACTAAATTGCATATCTTTACGAGTATTTTAGGGTACTAGCGTGATACTGCCTAGCCCAAGAATGATTTTGACAGTCAGGGCATGGTATCGAAAGGGATTTACCAGCCTAATTTCTATTCTATTTAGTTCTGTATCTAGACACACTCGTTGCAGTTCTCGACTAGAGGTGTAAGCCGATGAGTCAATCGGCGGTGTCTGATTCGAATATGTGGGTTCTTCGGCGGCAGCGGCTGAAAATTTCAAAACTGAATAATTCTTTCAATGATAAGAAATGTCTGTTTTTTCAATGTTTGATTACTAATAGTTTCAAAGAATTAAATGAAATAATCTTATTTCGCACGTTATTTTAATCAAGATATTATATTTAAGTAGTTTAGATAGGAATGATCAATTACTAATAACTATGGTCTGAAGCCAAGAGATCCAGTGATCCTAAGCGTGGACAAACTTTGTTAATAGATATCAAGATACTAAAAAATTTGTCCTTTTGAGTTTTTAACGATAGAGACTGGAAGGCAATCTCCACAAAACATTAAGTTTGAGTTATGTGGGAGATCTTATTTTTATTGTGCATCTTTTGTTATTTAGCGATTTAGAGAAAACAGGGAGGGAATATGCTAATTTGTTATTTTGGTTTGCTGAGTTTCTATCACTCGATGAATTACCAACAGAAGATTTATCATAAGTTCTGTGCGTCATGTAAAAGTGTAGATGCTAATCCCTTTCCAATTGAGGATGAACTATAATCTATTTGTTCAAATTTTCATTGATAAAAGAAAATTTTGCAATAAATTCGTTTCATATCTAATGTATCATTTGCTCTTTTGTGCAAATGACACGAATGATAGTATATAAATTATTGCTTTAGTACGTTACGTAGCTTTCTTAGAATAAAAAAAACTTTCATTGAAATTTTGAAAATTCGTTATATTGAGTGATAGATTCAAATATAAATAAAATTCGAGCCACCAACATTAATAAAAACTTCTTTGTGCTTTTCTTATACCTGACATAGAGTATTACTTTTTTGTTCATATAAGCAACCGAAAAGATTGATAAAAAACTTTATGGTTCAAACAACCGAATATAAGTAAAAGTTTTTGATTTTCGTATTCAGGTATTGGTGGTGGAGGCTGGAACTTTCATAATTTTTTCTTAGTAACGATGGTACAATGGTTGTATCTACTGTTAGTCAGCGGTGACGACAGCTCAGAAATTCTTTAAATTTTCGCTGCTACGGCGGCGGGTGTGGGTGTGGGAGATGGGGGTGTGGGTGTAGATTTGGGAAAGGAAGACCCACACTCGCACCCCCCGTACACCTTTGGAATTTCTTTCCAAAACTCAACCATATAAACATTCAAATCTCATGAATATGCAAGAAATTTAATAATAGTGGGAACACTTGACAACCAATAAAATCAAAGTTATCAAGAATCAAGAACGAAGAAACTGATTCAAAAGAAATTTTTTAAAGTATGAACAAAGCTTTTTGGACTAATCTAGTGTGAGTGCATGAAAGAGTGATGTTTTATAAGAAGCTGATTGATGTCAGGTTACCATACAAGATGATTCAAAATTCAAAGCTTTTAAATCAAATTTTTTCATGAAAAATGGTAAAATAAAAGACTTTTAGATTTTAGTATTAAAGAAATCTTTAATTTAGATAGATTATCCAATTTTTTCTTCTCATATTGATTTTTCTAGGACATCACAGAAATTAAAAATGCTAAATTTATTTTTATTTCTAGATTGTTATGAATAATTTAAACTATCAGATAAAACTTTTTTTTACACACATGATTATCGACTTCATGTCATCATTATTATCCGATGCGTCTCAATAAAAATAAAGACGAATTATTGACAACTCAGCATCAGCAACAGGCATTAGACACGAAGAAAAATAACAGTATGCACAGAATTAGACGTGAATATTAATAAAAACAGAGAATAACAGTTTTTTACTCTGTGGTTTTTCTTTATTTGAATTTCCATAAAAAGAGATGTTTTTGAACCATAAAAATTTCTCATATCAACTACAAAATTTTTCACATTTCTTAGTTCTTGTTTTTTTTTGTACTATTTTTAGCGGAAAATTAAGGTACACTGAATCGTCAGATAATTATTTCTCATTATTAAATATAAATTGAACAGCAGGATTTTCACTGAAGATCTTATAAACCTTGATTATTAGTATGAGAGACGTAATTGCTAGAAACAAAAATCAGTAAAAACGATCACAAAATACTAGATATAGGATTAAAGATATTGAACATTTGTATTCAAGATCTTATACATGTGTACCCAAGATCTTGTGTATCTGTATACAAGATCTTATGAATTTGCACTCAAGACCTTAAGAATCTGTACCCAAGATCTAATTTCAGATCTTAATACAAGATAATGCGATTATTCTGCACCTAAATTTTCAAGATCTGCTTACTAATCTATACCTTGTATCTTGGCCAAGATCTTGGTTACAAGATGTTCAACTAGGGAAAAGTGCTTGAAATTGATCGTCTTTGAATTTGTTTACAGTTAAATAATTTTTATTTGAATTTTTTTTCTTTCGCCATTATCATATCTATTCGAATGATTTATTTGATTAGATTCCACGAATTTTGCAAGTACTCTCTATCGAACATTTCGAGTTCGTATGAGTCATCGTTTTAAAATGTTTCAAGAAATACGATTAGTGATGTACTTTATTGTCATTTGACATTCCAGTTTGAGAATATATACAAACAATTTATTCGATAAGAAAACATATTTTTCATTGGACAAATTATATTACAGAATGTTTCATTGTTTGAAGAATTCGTTCTCGTAAGAAAAGAAAACATTTCTATGGATGTATTGAAAAAAATGTTAATTTGGAATAGATCGTACAGATGCTCGTTTGATTATTTCATAGAAAGACATCATTACAATAGAGTAAGGTACAAGAATACAAGCTCGAGGTAAAGATCCAGAGAAACAACCTCTTAAACCACGTTCATCAATTAAAATTCGAAATGTTCTCCAAAGTGATTGTCGTTTTGAAGCTACTTGAAGACGAGTTTTAAGAACATCTATAGGTTGAGTTAAAAGTGATGTTAATAGAGATGCTATGATAGCTGAAAGAGGAGCTATCAATCGATCATATTCGAAAGGAATAATTCGTTCAAGTTTGGCTTGAACTCGCCAATAGATTGTCCATATAATTGAATTATATGGAATCGACATTGAAAGTGATACTAAGTATCCTTTATAAAAACCACGAATACCATCACCTGATCGATAATATATATCACGAATAATATTGACAACATGTACATTATCACGTGCTCGAGTAATCATAATTCGTTGTGCTATTATATCAATCGGTACTAAAATAGAAGATCTATTTCTTTTTCTGGTTCAAATTATTTTGATGAATTAAAATAATTTACCTGTTAAAGATTGATAAATCAAAGCTGCCGTACAACCAGACAATGTACTAGTAATAATATCCCAATGAGAATGAGCGATTTGACTAGGTCGATTACTTTTGAGAATTGTTCGCATTTTTTCAAGTGTTCCTGTGAAAATAGGTTCGGCAATAAGACTACCGAGACTAATTGGAAAGCCTCGATAGAAACCACGTATTGGTCCTTCTTTGTACCATACTTGTTGAATCATTTTTACTGTTGATAAACCACCTTTGGCTGCTGTCTGAAGACGAATCTTGACAAGACCCAATGGATGAAAGCATGTTCGTACTACTAACGAACTAGCAGCAAGTAGACTTAAAAATTTTCCTTGATCCAAATCATTCCAATACAATTCATGACTATTTCGTTCTCGTATTCTATAACAGAAAACATTTTTAAAAAACCTTTGTGTATTAAGATAACGAGACAATTAACTATAACCTTCTTACCCTGGTGTTGAATCGATAGCATCCATCTTCCGTCGTCTTTCTTACAGCTCATTTACACATATATGAATGCTTTTAAGTTCAAAGGATTTATTATTCGTCTAATAGGCATCCACTTGACAATCAAGAAATAAAAGATGTCGCTTATTTTTACTACTGTATACAAACCCGTAATATAATGCCAAAAGTAATGCTTGAATCGAATTCACATATGAATAAATGAAAAACACAAGATCTGAATGTCGATATGAAAGTATCAAAAACTCTATAAGAGTTTCTTTTTTACTTAAAGTATCTCGATATTTATCTATCAATTATTATTTTATTTTACATAAAGATTGAAGGAAAAAATATTTCTTCATCGACAAATATCTGTAGTAGATCCAAGATAGTTTAGAACGTGGTGCGATTATCCACTTAATTGATTAGTTTGTTACAATTTTATGGAAAAATAAATGCGGAAACCTCGGATTTAAATCCGAGAGTTATGTGTACTTCAAAAAGTGAATGAGACAGAGAAGTCATTCTAGAATGTGTGGACATCAACATTGTCCTGGCAAACCTTTTCTATAAACACTTGATTTCTATTGGCTACTGCTCAACCAATAGGATTTGGAGGCAGATACAGCTCAGATTTGAACTCTTCACCTTCATTTACCCTAAGAAACTCGTTTTTCCTATAACTTGATTTCTATTGATCACTGCTCAACCAATGAAATTTCGAGACGAATGGAACACAGATTCGAGTTCTCCATCCCAGAAAACCTTGAACTATCATCTCTGTGATCGAAAGATAGAGCTCTATTTATGGATCAATTAGAGCGTGGACAAACACAGAACCGAATTCGGTTTAATTATCTTTGCAATAGGTGAGTTAACTTTCTTGTTTCCTTATGTTTTATATACCATTTTGTAGATCGTGAAATTCTCTATCGAATGGTATATAATAGTTGGGGTTTTATTTTGAGTATGATAGGAAATTTTTTTTATGAAAGCAGGGATGGGTCGATTTTCGCATGGGAAGCCATAGGAAAAAATGAGTATTTTTACAATAACTCACCAATGGCTCGGATACTCATTCTCATCTTCGAACTCGACTGAGACATTGTTAAGACTGAACTATGTAGAAAATTTCATCGCGATTGGACTCTCCTTTCAAAAGTTATCGTGTTAACGGCCGGACGGACGGGCATACTGACCGATTCTAGAGTGTACTCACTTTTTGAGTACACAAAAAAGTGACATTCGTCGAATGAATAAATCAAAATAATAAGAATTCAAGAATTTTTAAGATTTGATGCGAAAAAAATCTTGGCTAAGCACATCTCTATTTTAATTTAGATTTTTCAACATCGAACAAAACAAAGAATCCATTATTTTCAAGTTCACTTCGAAGAGTATTGATCACATGTCAACGCCCAATTCACCAAGACGTGCATCGGGGGCATGTTGAATTATGTCAGTCGCACAAAAGCTTAGAGTGACAGAGACAACGAGTAGTTTTTTTTTTCTACTAGATCATTCTCATGCTTCGATTTGGGTCAGAGTATTGAGCGCCGCTTTTCTTACACCGGAACCAGATCATCCAATTGATGTTTAGTCAACGTTGATTATGTATATTTTTCTCCAAATGCTTTCGAGCTTTCATATAGTACCATCGGACTCACTATATTAGATGCCTTAATTATGCGACCATTTTCTTGTATAAGGAAATAAATATTGATTGAGTATTTTGATATCATAATAATTGGTACAGAATACTTCTAGAACTGTATCAACTGTTAATTGTATCTTTGAAATGGCAGGATTATGGACAATAATATCTAATTGACTGCCATAGTTTTGTTTGATATCATTCGTAGCTCAAAGAATACTTTTGACTGACAGTGTATTCAATTAAAGAATGTGAACATTCGATCGAGAGTCAAATGTTGGACTTTTTAACGCAATTTTTTCATTTCCAAACGCGTCCAAATGTAATGGAATCGTACATGTAAACGCACAAAAATATGTTGGTACGCTACATTTCTCAACCTCGATGGCAGCACCACTCAAGTCAGCGCCTGGCAAAGACTCTTCTCAATCTGTTCTCTGTTCCAGGCAGACAGAAGAAGCGATGAAAGCGCGTTTTTGTGATGAAACTTGCGGTTTTACCTATATAAATGCATTTTTCCTCACATTTTGACTACTTGGAACTATTAATCATCGCATGCTTAAAAGGTGTTTGTGCGGATCCCAAATGACGATGAGACGTTGTGTATATGCCTGGCTGCATTACCGATTAGCAATGAGTCTCTGAGATTAATGGATATCAACTAACATCCTCTGCAGTCAATAGTTCGATTGAAAAACTGTAAAAACAAAATGAAGTGTTGTTTACGGTCGAATTACCAAACCGAGAAGTATCTCGATCGATCATCTATTTTGAAAGTTTTTTTTCCGATTTCTATTTTATGTCGTCGAAGTTTTTATCGATACTGAAAATTTAAGATCAAGGATCATGTTCTCAGCAAGGCAAAGTCATTAGAGAACCTCTCGAACTGACAAGGATAGCTGACAGTAGTCTATTGCGAAGACCACTGTAGGTCGATTTCTTGCAAATTGAGATATATCTTATGTTTATCTCATCAGAAGATAGTCTGCTCTGAGGGTGTGAGCGTTTTTTTCACTAGTTCGCATATCCACACCCAATGAACTAATCGCATTAAGAACTCTGTTCGTGGAAAGTTTGCAGTCGATATTTTCACGTGACTTGCGTGGGCCCATAGCTTTTTGTTGAAAAACCCAGTAAAATTTCGATATCTTGAGAATAAAAGCATAAAAAACCGAACCATTCTAGACTTTTCTATTATTCATCAAATGAACATCGTCTCGGTAGGGAAACGATTTGACATCTGGATATAGTGCTTCACAGTATTATTTATCTAATATATCTGCGTAACACCTTATTGCAAAATTTGTAATATGTTCTTGTAGAAAATTGAATCTTAAATCCAAAACAAAATATAAAGGCACGGTGAAATTGAGAAAATGCTGAGAAAGACATTTATTCTGACAGTGCACCCACTATATTTATTCCAATATACGAAAGTAAACTCAACTTTCGAAATGTAGTTAATTTTCGTGTTTTTTTGTTTTTTTTTGAGTTTAAATATAAATTCAATAATATCATTAGTTTAACTATTAATCGAAGTCTTTTCACAGTAGTTAATACGTGTTTATGAAATAAAATTAAAATTACCTGAAAATTAGCAGTTTAATATAGCCTATGAATTACAACAATCAGTTAAATTGTTTTTCAAAAAAAATTATTTCTAGCATCTATTCTCATCAATGATTCACAAAGAATTCTATTTGAATTAGAAAAAATTTTCTAAGCTGAAATCATAATAATAATGATTTTTTATCCACAATAATCTAAATATTGATAATATTCGAATAAACAATTTATCAAGACGAAATACCTTATATATTTGTCTGTTGTTTTCAATACTAAAAAAAAACAAAAGGTCTGTTGTTCTTATTAAAATTACAAACAGACAAATTGGAAAGAACATAGTTCGGATAGGAATCGAGAAAGAGAGACACAAAAAAATAGATCTAAAAACTAAAGAAAAAAAATCACACACAAATGAGAAAAAAAAATTACGCTAAAGACAATAACTAAACACGCATTATGCATAGGCAAATATATAAAATACGTGTTAATATTTTTATTCAATGATTTTAGAAAGCAAATAGAAGCCTAAAATAGAATAATTCATTTTAGAGAAAAATAAATGAAAAAAAGACTTACATAAAGGCCATCATAAGACAAAATAGTCCCATAGCTTCAGAGAGAGCAAAACCAAGAATAGCATATGAAAAAAGTTGTTGTTTTAAACTAGGATTACGTGCATAAGCTACTACTAATGAACCAAATACAGTTCCAATACCTAAACAAATTAAATTAATGTTTTGTTTTTTGTTTCTAATGATTTTCGAAAAACTATTAAATGCAAAAAACAAAAAAGAAACACTCGACCTGCACCAGCACCGGCTACACCAACAGTTGCTGCACCAGCTCCAATATATTTAGCAGCTGAATCAATATCACGACGAATAGCCGATGTGGCTATTGTACGATGAGATGGTATCATTAAAGCATTAGCCGATGTTAATATTGGTAATTGTTGTTGAAATATTATTTGTCGACTGGCCAATAACTGACCAAGACGGCATAATGTTGATGATGTTGACAAAGTTAAACGTGTTAATGATGACATATTTCTAAATAGATGATAATCTTGAGTAAAAGATAAATAAAATTTAGTAAAAAAAAAACGACGATATAACCATATCTCCAATGGCTTTTGCGTTCGACAATACAACATACATACATTACGAAAGAAACAAACAGATGTTGTGAACAGATGTCACTGGCCAACAAAAACTTCCAAAAAACAAAATAATCTTTTATTAAAATTATTATTTATGAGTATTTTTTCTTAATTCTTTCGTTTTTTTTGAAATAAATATTTTTACAAGAATAGATTTGTTATGATAAAATTTGAATAAATTATGGATGATAATGGATTGAGATAGAAAACTTTGACGTTTTAAGATTAATATTTCTCATACTATATGTATGTAACAAAAGTAAAATGTATAGAACCTTTACTACTTCCAATATACATCTTGCTGAATAAAATAATACTTAATTTTCAAGATGATTAGATGAATTAACTTATTCTATTATTTTAGAATACTTTGCTCTTTTTTATCCTTCGATCTCATTTAAGAAAAAAAATGTGTTTTACACGTATCATTTCTTTTTATTAACGATAGGTATTGTTGATCAAATGACTAAATAGGATTTTCCTATCTATTGTTTATTAATATATTATTAAACAAGTGTATATAATTACCTTGCTCGTATAAACACTATTTTTGATAGTTATGTTAATGCCGAAAGTGAGATTACATTCAATATTTTGGATCGAAGAGAAAACTAATACTAACATTCGAACTAGTAATTTGTAGATCGATGTTGTATTTGAATACTTATCAATGAATTGATAGGGAACAATAATATTTCAATTAATACAATCATCAATGGATAAATTAAGTAAAGATTCGAACTTTTATAAACAGTTTTCTATTGAAGTAGGTTTTGTGTATAAAATTGTGTTTAGCTTTATGAATTCAAACTTAATTTATCAATTGATGATTGTATTAATTGAAATGTCACTGGTCTATCTAATTCATAGAAGTCTTTACATATAGTCATAAATCATTATACTGTTTTTCCTTCAAAAAAACAAAGTCAATTTTCATCAGAAAAAATCAAAATTAACATAAATACATGGAAAGATAACCCTAGATCCGATCTTTTTTACAAACGACATAATTTTTTTATTTGTCACTTTACTTTTTGGCAAAATTTGTCATTATTTCCGTCATATTCTACTTGAAAAATATGTTTACATCCTAGAATTCTCAATGGACCTTCATTATAGCTAACAGCTTTCTTTTTTATTTGAAAGACCATATGAAACCACAGTACTTAGCAGAATCTGGTTATTTTTATTATTATATAAAAACGTACTTCTATAAATAAATAACCTTTTTTTCTTTTGAAAGTTTTTCAAAGTATTAAGTTTGTCATTCTTTTTTCTTCACATAAAAAGTAAGAATTTAAAAAAATAAAAAAGAATATTGGAATCTGACATACTCTTTGAAATAAAAATAATATTAAATCTATATATAGAACTGAAAATTTTATATGATTTAAATGTACCTAGCTCAAGATGCCTTGACAAATCTTTATGAGATAAAACCTGGAAATTAAATATCATAAGAAACGAGAATTGTAGATAAATATTCATAGAATAGAAATTTCATTCTATACTGATAACTATCATCCTTCATCAACAATTAAGTCAGCTACAATCTACTTGTCAATGTTAGTTGAGTATGATAAATGATATCATAATGCTTAACTAGTAATTTTCATCTACTAACATTCTATAAATCAGCTGTGTTACTTTAACCAACAAAAAAAAAATCAAAGTTAAAGAGAAATTTAATTTCTTTCTTCGTTTTTCCAAATAATAAAGTATATTGAAAAATAAAATGACTGGTTTTAGTTTGCAGGCAATAAGAATTTTTCTCATTCTATTTTCTTAACGAGATGTTCTATAAAATTAGTTTTGATTATCAAAACAGATTGCATGTTATAATTTATTATAAATAATTCCATATTATCTTGTTGATTTTATCTTCTTTATGTTGTATAATAATAGAAAGAATATTTTTCTAAATATCACGTTAATTTGAAAGAAAAAAAAAAAAAAAAGAATTCCAACGACACTTGAATGTCATGCATATAGTTATCTTAGCATTTTTTATTTTTAGATTTTTTGTTTTTTTTTTTTGTGTAAAAAAAAAAATTCTTTTCATAATTATAGATTATTTACGAATACAATAAATTATAAAATAGTTTAGATTTATGATATTATTGAAACAATGTGAATAGATATTTATTATCAACACTATGTTGTCTTAATTGAACCGTAGTATACCAAAGTTTAATATTTAGTAGAAATATTTTTATTTTTGCTATAAAATGAAAAACTAGAATAAACGAAAATTTTCTCTATGTACCTTTTTGAGTGGTAATGAGATGAGAAAGTATCAAAAAAACGCACAAAAATTTTTTGTATTTTATTACTAAAAAAAAAAAGTTGATAGAATTTATAAAAAGAAAAAAAACATAGGATACTAATAATGTTTTATCAATCAAGTTGTAAAAATGTTTTTTTTTTCTTTTAATATATGACAATTATTTGATAGATTTAAGAAAAAAACACAATTGAGTAATATGATATACAATGTTAACATATTGTTCTCTAATCAAATGTAATGGTAAGAAGAATTTTTCTATAATAAAACTAGTTAAATATCTTAAATATAATTTATTTATAGAAATAACAAATAATTATTATTGATTTATTGGAACATTATCATTGAAATCAGGTATTGATATATTAAATGCAATAATACTTATTTAATATTCAATCAAATAAATATGAATATAGAGAGTAAATAAAAAAAAAATCAATATTAATTTATAATTGAATATGTGTAGAATAATAAATTAAATTGGAAATATATTAATCAGAATTCATTTTGTTATCGAAAAAAAGGCAATAAATAAACATTTGTTAATCAAATTAATTTGAAATATATAAAACTTCCAATTGTTCGTTAAATTCAATTTTTTTTTCATTGTTATAATTGAATTGTTCTCTTCAAAAATTATTATATGATAATAAACATGAATGTTTTATTGTCTAACAACGAGAGTATTTATTCAAAATTGAATGTAATATTAAACAATTTATGTTTATGATTACCGTCATTCATTCTAGTGGTAGTTATGACCTATAATATATATTTAATCTAAACGTTTTAGGATTAGATAAGTCAATACTGTCATATCAATTCATAGTAATCACATAACGAGGAGATCGTAGACAGAACACTACTATCCTGGGGGAAATCCACAAAATATAGTGTCAATGATGGTAATTATTACATTTTTATTTCTTCTGGTAATAGGACAACGTCCGGTCTAGCTCACCCTTGGCTATGCTAGTAGTTTATAGTAAGTCATGAGAAATTTTATTAACAAAACAAACTAGTCACCATATTCAAACTTGATTTAATTATTGACTTTTAAAAGAATATATATATATATAAATTTTTGTTTTACGATTTATTTCTATTTGTTTATGTTATAGATTCGAGAAATTCTTAAAGATTTCAACAGATCATATAAGAATATTTGCTATTAACAATTTTCTTTTTTATCAAAAAAGCTAAATTTAGTATTTATTGCTGTAATGGCGTGAGTATTACAAAGATATAAAAAACAAAAAAAAAAAATTCGAAATTCTTTGTTGTTACACTTATCAAGCATGTAATAAAGAAAAATAATTTAATCAAAATATTACTGAAAATTTTCCAAACACCAAGATTCTATTACAAAAAAAAAACGAATTAAAATTACAACTGTTTGCATAGAATAGTTAGTACAACAAAAATGAATAATATAATAAATATAGATGTATGATTATCCATAATCTAATTATTCAATGAACAGCAAACAATGATATTTCTAATTTTATCTCTTATTGTGGGCGTCTTAATAGTACTTGTACTTCCTACACTAGACTGTTTTTATTTCTTCTATTTTTAGAATGAAAATTAACTTTTCGTAAGAAACTTTGTTTTTTGAAGGATTTTTTGTTTTTTATTCAATAGATTTATAAACAGCGAATGTACATAGAAAATACAGGTCATATCGACCTGGATGTAAAACATTGAATAATTGAATTTATACTGATATTTTTGTTAGATTTGGTGTTGATGTCTAAATAATCGACTATTTATGATATGATCAGTGAGGAAACAATAATATCTTTTTGTTTTTACACAAAAATATATTTATCTATATGTCTTTATGTACATTCGATAAATTAGTATTTTTTCTTTGTCTTGTCTATAAACACATATGATATAAAGAAAAAAAAAACTCTATTCTAATAGAGTTGATTTGTATGTTTTGTTTTTTTTTTTGTTTATTTTAGATTATTTTACGAGTAACTTTAATACATATGTGTATGCAAATAAGGTTGGAACATATCAAATAACATAAATGATAAATTATAGACCAACATTAATCATCTTCATCATAGTTATCGATGCGAATGATAAAATTTACTGATGTTTTGTTTTATTTTTATATAAAACAAAGAAAAATTCGATCCAAAGAAATCTAATACTGTTCTTAATTGACAAGAAACATATATAAGTAGAACAATATACAAAAAATATTACATAAATTATGAATAATGTATATCATTTATCAGTGTTTCTAGAAGAATGCATATGTATGCAGAAAGATAATTTTTTTATGTAAATTATATTACATGAAAATTTATCTATGCATCATATTCATGAGTTTGAAAACAAAAAAAAAAAAAAAAACTGAATGCATAGTACTAATTAAGTGAAGCACTTGTGACAATATGTCGGTAACCCAGTTTTTTTTTATTTATGAGAAGCAAAGAGAAATATTAGTGCATGCCCAGAATACATAATTATAGGACTTGACTATGACAAGAGATTTTTTATCAATATAGTAGGCACAAATAGTTAGTCTTTTTCTATCTATCTCTTTTGCATTATATTTTCTCTAGTTTTTTTTTTCTCATTCGTT